AATCTAAACATCTTCCATTCGTCTTTGACGAACCGCGTCCTGACAATCCTGAATATGATTTCATCAGCTTGATAAATTGTGTGTGTACACGTGTTTCGTATAAGTGTGTTGCATATACGTATATAACACATATATGTGTATACATTTTTTATTACATATTTGCTTAAATATCTTTATATTTATATATGAATATAAAATATATATTGTATAAGATGTAATTTTAATTTATCTCCTAAATCTCTTTTATTTTAGATTGTAAAAAATAATGTCCTAGACAAAAGTTATACGGCATAAGATACAAGTAATAGTAGAAATAATGTTAAAAAAAATAACTGTTCGTTATTTAAAGATTATATAAAGATTAAGGCTATTAAAAGAAAATGTTCGCGCTTCGAAGAAGTAAGAATATTATATGCGTAATATGGAAAATTGTTATATACAAAACATGAGTTCGAAGGAAACTTAATATAGTATATATTTTGTTAGAAGTGGAGGTTTATTGAAGATTTCACAATCAATATCACTTTTTAAAACAAAATTGTATGATCTTTTACACAATACAATCAAGTTATTATATAGAGGGTGTCCCGAAAGTTTTTGCCAATCGCTTTCGTGTAGATAGAGCGAACTAAACTGAGTCGAAAAGTCCTCTACCATTTTGCAATTTTCGCTATAGTTAACAAGATATTAATTACTAAAAATTGCCAAATACTGGTCTTGAATAATTTTTTACTCAAATACTATTAACTTTACAGAAAAACTACACAGACAAAAATAATTTATTTCTTCTCATAAAGTTCTGAAAATTTTTTCAGAATTTTTTATTAACTTTTTAGTACTGCATTTTCTTATCTTTGCAAACATGAGAAAATACGGTATTAAAAAATTCTGAAAAAATTTTGAAAAAATTCTCAGAACTTGATGAAAAGAAAATAAATGATTTTTGTCTCTTGCAGTTTTTTTGAAAGTTGATAATATTTAAGTAAAAAATTATTCGAGACAAATATTTGGCAATTTTTAATAATTAAATATAATAAGTGTAATAATACTGTAATACTACAATAGTACTAAATATCTCTTCCTACGTCGTGAGTCTCTGTTCGGTTTCTTGCACATACTCAATCAAGAACTGCCTTTTCCAAGACCGCGTCCAGTTCTTCTCAATGAGATTTCTAACCTCACTTTTAAGTGATGCACGTACAATTTATGTTATACTACATACTACAGCTATTCTAATTAATAGCATTAAAAATGTTTTATTTTATACTTTTATTTATAGGTTACATATTTATTTAAAACAAATATTTAGTTTGCACATCATTAAAAAAATAGACATGTATGCGCGAGTATAAAGAATATCACTTAACCTTATCGACAAGGATTAATATTTCTATATATATTATATATGCTAAACATACCATATATTTATATATATACTAATATAATTTCCAATATCTTTCTAATTTCCAATATCTTAATATTTGGGATTAGGTTTGTTGTCATTGGTGAACACTAACCCTTCTTTTTCCATCATATGCCTTTTAAATTCCATCTGCTTTTTCATTTGTTTCCTTTTCCTCTCTAGGCAATCAGTGTTTAAAAATTAGATATTTTTGCATAGAAATCATTCAATGAGTACTAAATTTTCAACATTACAGTCTTAGCTTCTCTTGAATTAAATTCTTTTTTTTTCGATGAGAGCTCGTCAATCTGAACATTTGTAGATGACAATTGATTAATCTCCATTTTCATGTCATCTCTTATAATTTCATCAACAGGTTGTAGGTATAGTCCCAAAGAAGGCTCTATATGTGTAAGAGCTCAACATTACATATACATTGCACTATGATTATAATGACCGAGAATGATATAACACTAATTAGAATAAAACTTATTCTTCAAAACTTTAATTTCAAAGTTTTTGAGCTGTTTAGAATTAACTTTTTTAATGCAAGAAAAGTATTCTTAATTTGATCTTTATATTATTACAGTCAAAGTATTATAGTACAAACACAGTTTATATTACATAACATTCCATAAAATCATAAGAAAGATAGTTATTTTATACAGAATAAAAAAATTGAATAAGAATGAAAAAAATAGAATGTAAAACCTTTTTAAGAGATTCTTCTTAAAAACTTATATCACTTTCTATTAGCACCTGTTCTCATCACTGCAAAAATTTTCATGCAGGAGTTATGAACCATGAAATTAGACTGGAATGATTCTATTCCTCCTACTGCTGCCAACAAGTGGTGTACAGTCGTACACAGTCTTCGGAACTGCATATACTTTCCTTTTTTCGATGAATCGGTTGTACTTCTGAACATTCACTTGAAATTCATGGATTTGCAGATGCATTAAATCAAGCGTTAGCTGCCGTAGTTTATGCTTGTTCCATCACCTGTGATGGTCACGTTGGTACACAACTAATTTGTGCCAAAAGTAAAATGGCACCTTTAAAACTAATAACTATACCAATATTAGAATTGGCAGAAGGCACGCTTCTTGTGAAACTGGTGACACATATTTTGAAGAGTTTGAATCACCAATCAATCCCAATACACTTGTGGACCGATTCATCTATAGCACATACATGGATCGCAAATCACTCGTCACGATGGAAGGATTTCGTGCATAATCGTGTGTGTTATATTCAAGAATCCCTACCACAGGCAAAATGGGGTTTAGTCCCAGGATATGAAAATCCGACGGATCTTGCTACTCGAGGTATGTCTCCAATACAACTTTCCGAACAGCTTTCTTGGTGGAAAGGTCCTTCTTGGTTATCGCAGCTGGTACATCAGTGGCCCCAACAATCACCGTCAACTTCAACAATGGAATTTTTGGAGGAACAGAAAACCACTTTGCTATATTAAACATAGTATCGATCAGTTACTGGAATCTTCTACATAGATATTCTAATCTGAATCGCTTGCTTCGTATTACGGCTACATGTCAACGAGCTATCAGTAGATTTCGTAAGGAGCCTAATATCTCTTTGGATCATTCTCTAAATTTTATTGACTTACAAAAGGCAACATCAAGGCAATACAAAGAAAATCAATAAGATATATACGATATGTAAGATATATATTATAAGATAAATAATAACAAATTATATTATATAAATAACAAAGATTAATAACACAGATTATATATACTTCATAAATCTTAATTAGATACCTACTTGAAGAAATTACTTGATGAAACTTATTCCACTTATTTACTATCGCGTCCGAAAACTTGATGTTATTATCAATAACTGTTATTATCAATTTATATAACTTAACCCCACAATGACACACGAGCGATCTCCATGATGACAGCCGCTCAACACGAAGTAAGCGCAGCGAGAGAACCAATCAGCATCGCGGAAAAGCGGCATCAATAAACTTCGAGAGATGCGAGTAATCGATTTACATCTCCTTTTTTAAATAGGAATATACTAGTTGCTGTATTATCTTAACTTTTGTTGTTCAATCTGTTGGCATCTAAGAGCATCTCTACCTCTGTGAAGTTGGCATCTCATTTTTCAAAAAATGAAATTTTGGTCACAGTTCCGAATGCACCCCGAAGAGTTCTGGAGTTCCTGCCCAAAATTAAGAATAGTTCCGGCGAATCAATGTAAAAAAAAAAAAAATAAAAAAAAGGGGTGCTAACTTCACAAAATGCGGAACGAAAAATCGCGATATCTTCTAAACTATTAGTCCTAGCGCTTAAAATGACAATAACTTTCGATAGAACTCTTGGGGTGCCATCCAGAACTGTCAACAAAACTGCCATAGTGTTAAAAAATATTTTGTCCCTCAGATGTGATAAAATCTGACATTGAAAAAATCGCGATATCACTTAAACCGCTGGTCGTAAAGCTTCGAGCATTAATAACTATCGTCAGAACTCGCGGGATGCTACCCAGAACTGTCCTCAGAATAGCCAGAACTCTTAAAAAATTTTTACCCCCCAGGTGTTAGAAATTTTTCGATGTGACAAACGAAAAATCGCGATATCTTTTAAGCCATTGGTCGTAGCGCTTCGAGCATTAATAACTTTCGTCAGAACTCGCGGGGTGCTACCCAGAACTGTCGACAGAATTGCCAGAACTTTTAAAAAATTTTCGCGCCTCGGGTGTTAGAATTTAAATTGATAATATTTGTAAATGTGATTGTAATTTTTTTAATGTTTATTAAAACTAATGACACGGATCATTTGTATCTTTATCAAATTAAATTCTACCAAATTAAAAAGTAAAACCCAATCTTTTTTTTATTATTTACTTAACTCTAATGATATGTATCATGTGTATAAAAGATTCTCTCTAGGGAATTTTAAAATTATATACAAACTTACCTTTTTAAAAAAAGGTAAAAAAAGCGCTAAGCGTTGGTGAAACTGACCCAAATGGTGCTTCTCGTAAAGAATCACCATTTGGGCCAGTTTCACCAACGCCAATTACTTAATCGGCCGTGAAACTGATAACTAATCACGTTTGCTGTTTAGTAGAACTAATGATATGTATCATTTGTATAAAAGATTTGATATCAACAATTGGCGCCAAGTTAAATTCCATGTAATTCGGACAAATTAAATTGACCATTCGCTGGTCACGAGACATATACGTGGAGCACGTGTCCGGCACCCGCCAGTACCTTGCT